ACATGTAAATCCATGGCTGATTCATGTCAATGTATGACAAAAACCACTACAATATTGTAAAGTAATTAGCCTCCAACTAATAAAAATAAATGAAAAAAAGATTTATTTCATAATTAGATATTTTACTATGATTTTTAATTTTTTCCCAGGAGTATTTTGAATTTTTCACTTTAAATACTGTATCTAAATAAATGCAAGATTCATAAAAAAAATAAAATCTCCAGTTTTATATTTCTCTTTCATCTTCTGCTTAAAATTTTGGTTCTCATAACACTAACATAATCACAAAAGAACAACACTACATAAATTAACAATAAGATCACTGAATGCAGAGTAAAATTGCTTTGTGTGCTATTTTTTGCCCTTACCATATGTCCCATGAGGAATATACAGGTTAATGTCCATGTTTTAAAGTCATTGAAAATAATTACTCTCCATGTGTTTCACCACCAATTAGAATATAGATTTTTTTCCTTGTTTATTTTTAATTGTTAGAGACTGCCATATTATTGCATTTAGTTTTGCTTTTAAATTGCTTAAAATATGCAAAGCTATGAACAAGATTCATCCAGAGGTGTCTAATGTCCACCTCTGTTGTCTTCAGCTGACCTCTCCTTGAAGTCATGTTTTCAGTTCTTGATTTATTCTTCCATTATTTCCTTTTGAATATTCACATCCTTTCCTACACAAAAAACATACAGTGTCCACATCTGCACCTTGTTTTTTCCACTTAACCAGGTATTCTGGAGATCACTTCACAGTAATGTACAAAGAGTTTTTTTGTTCCTTTTCCCAGCTGCATCGTATTTCAATATCAGAAGGCTATTTCAATTGTTTCCAGTTTTTACTATTAAAAACAGTGTCACTATCAACAGTCTTACACATACATCATTTCTTATGCAGTTTATCTTTAGAACAGATCCCTAGAAATGTGATTTCTTGGTCAAAGTGAAATACATGATAGTTTCGCTAAATATTACCAAATTTCATATGGTTTGTAGCACTTTGTATTCCCACCAGCAAAACATGAGAATATCTGTTTCCCTTAAAGCCTAATTAAATGAGCATTCTATAAATCTTTGCTTTGTTGAGTATAACTTGCGTTTTCCAAAAATCTATGGCATGTAGTCTATTTAACTGTTGCCAAGTCATATAAAATATGCTCATGACCGATTTCCAAATGTTCTTCAAGAAAAATCAATTTTTAGTGTCAAATAATTAATCCACAAAAACATCAATACCACAGGCACTTGTCTTGTGTTTTGCCTTTAATAATGAAATAGCAATGTTGCAAGTCTTTATCCCTTTGTCTTCTTCCCTGGATAAAATGATTCTGACTTTAGGTTTAATTGAGGGCTCCACAAAACTCTAAATAAACCTACTTCCGGTCTCATATTAATCACTAATATGTGGTTTGAGTCACCTTAAATGTCTTTCTGCCACTTCAAATTAATTAATTCTCTCACTCCCCCAGGTCGGACACCTCAGGTGTCTCTGATTCTACTCTCTCTCTGTCTCCTTTACCCAAGGAATCACCAAGATTTTTTACAGGTTTTTCATTAAAAGAGTTCTTATATATAACTCAATTTTTAGCCCCATTTCCACCCTACTTACAGCTCTCATTACCTAAGTGGAGAACTCCTGGAATATTCCCTTCACCAGCCTCCCAGTCTCTATAGTCTTCCCTCTGCTAAGCATACTTAAATACACACTGAGGGTTTCACATTATATTGCCATTTTGCTCAAGTAACTCTAAGGCCCCCACGCTGCCCTCCACAATGTTTTTCAACCCATGCTCCACAGACATACTTCACTGCTGCACCAACGAAGCAGTTCCATTTTTATTTTTTCTACACATGACATTTTCTGCATAAGGTTTCACTATTCTGCAGCTAAAGAGAATACAAGAGAACAAGAGTTCAAAAGTCACTGGTCTACAGAGTCAAACCATGGAATGTATAATATGACAGTGTTGTGCCAACTCAATCTTCTATTAATGAATTCATGCAATATTTATTGAGAACCAAATATTTACTAGGCACCATAAATAAAAAAGATAAAGTATCCAGCTTCGTAAAATCTACATCCAGATAAAACAGACTGGTAGGACAATAAAGTCTGCTAAGTTCTCCCAAGAGGAAAACAATCTACATAAAATAGGAGAAGTGAAAAAAAAAATTGGGGAAATGAGAATCCTTTCCAATCCAAAGGTTCAGAAAGTATAAAAGAATAAAGCTCTTCAGTTGAGAGGATTACAGGGGATTCCAGCAGCCTGGGGCCGGCGGGAGTCAGTTTTAATTAAAGCAAGAATGTGAAAGAAATATGAAAAAGATGGAGGGTAAAGGAGTTTGATCATTGTGGGCAGAACTGCACTGGGTGTGGTGAAAAGGTCTGGGAGACAAAGGAACAGTGTAAGGTCAGGCTGTAGAGAGGAAGCAAGATAAGTGGTTTGAGAGCTCATATCCTGAGTAACAACCAAGAAAGCAGACACTCGGGAATCACAGGTCTGATGGTCATAGGCAGACTAGCTGCGGAGTCAAGATGGTGGGGNGGGGGAGGAAACTCGATAGCTTGTCAGGATCCACCTGTGGCAGAGACAGATGACTTACGTATGGAATTTCTAGTGGATAGCGACTTCTGTCTAATAAATAGACATCTGTGTACTAGGTTGATTTCTTAGACTCTAGTAAAAAAAATTTTTTTTGGAGTTGATAAATCTGAAGCCTCCAGATTTCTGAGATCCTATGTGACATTAGGCTTCCCAAAGGTGAACAATTGGATACTTGGTATCCCATTCAAAGGCCTGAAAGTTGCCATGTACAGAGCATACATTTAGTAACTTTCTGGATATAACAAGGAATGCCCCTCATGCTTAGGAAAGTACTGCACATTATCCTTAATGATCAACAGATTTATCTGAAGCCAGACCACTTGAATTTAACTTTCAAATTTGCTATTTACTAGCTGTACATGAGCCTGGGCAAATTATCTAATGTGTGCCTCAGCTTCTTCATCTATAAAATAGTGATGATGGTAATACCAACTGCCAAGGGCTGCTGTGAGGAGTAAATTAATTAAAACATATAAAGTGTTTAAAACAATGCCTGGTACTCAGGCATACAGCCTGAGAACCATCAGCTTTGCAGAGTTACACTACTATCCAGGGCAATGAATATGTTAACTGCCTCTTCAAACTTTAACATTACTCGTGGCTGGTCTAAGAATTTACTGCTTACCTGGATCAAAATTATCACCAAATATTCTCTTGGCAGGAATCTTCAGAGCCATAGCAGGAAATTGTTTCCTTAACTAGAATTGAAAAAATAATATTACATAAATTTATTACATAGGTCATCTAGTTATACGCATGCCAAAATAAAATATAATCTAATTTTGAAAACATCCATCATAAAAATCCATCATACTTTTTAAGTATATCATGATTAAGAGTACAATATTAAATTACGCCAATAAAATACCATTAATTTGGCTAATCCTCTTTTGTCCCAGTAAAACAATTAGTATCTTTGTGATCTTGGATAAGCTACTTAACATCTCTGTGCTTCAGTTTTCTTGCAGAAAATAGGGATAATCTTAGCTCTTATAGATTTGATGTGAGGCTTAAAATCGTTTAAGTTAAGTACTCGGACGAGAACCTGGAGTACAGGTTTTGAATACCGTTACACCCTGTTTATGACCTCAGGAAATATGACTTTTGTGTTCTAACAGACTGGCAACTGTTTTCTGAGAAAGCTGATGAATTTTCAATTTCCTCTGCTCAATCCTCCCTCCTGTTAATATTCTAACACATTTGTCTCTCAGATTTGCCTATCCCCAGAGAAAAACAACTTGGTCCTGAAGAAATTCAATTTAGGGCAGTAAAGCAATAAAAATGGGTAAATGCTTATTTTTACTATAAGCTTGACATCACTTGATATCAAAGGACCACACATACACTGTCTTTACACAGTCTTACCAATCCTTGCATTCCTCTAGTAACTTTAAATGTTTTAGAAACAAACAGAAAAACCCAAACATACACTATGTATACACACACACACACACACGCACGCACACACATAGTGTGTGTGTTTGTGTGAGAGTATAAAAATATACCTCCACTGACAGGAAATACAAAGAATAGGAGAGTGAATTAATCAGTCTAAACCATGGGCAGGCTGTCAGCAAAATTCAGATAAAAAAATCTAGACAAACAACCCTGTTTTTTCCAACAGAATAACTGTACACAAAAGAGAGGTGGAGGGGGAAACTTAGTGATTAAAAGACAACTCATAAAATCAACTCTATTTCAATAAAAATTTTTGAAAAAGTTAAAACAAAAAAATAAAACTTATAACGATTTGTTAAAAAAAAAAAAAAGACACTTCACAGGATTATCAACCAGTCATAAGAACACTGAGTATTTTACATTAAAGCATTATCTTTAATTATTGTGATAATGACATTGTATATTTTTAACGAATCTATCTTTTTAGAGATATACACAGAAATATTTACAAAGATATGATGTCTTGAGATTTGCTTCATAATTACAGTGGGCTGGCTAGGGATAGAGATGAAACAAGAATGACTGTGTACAGTAATTCTTGAAGATGGATGGTACCGTATATGATGTTCTCTATTTATACTAGTCTAGTTCCATACGTGTTCAACAAGTTCTATAATAAAAAGCTTCCAAATGCAAACTATAGTCATAAAAACACATGTTTACAGATTGAAAATGTTACTTTTTCTCTTCCCTTTTTTTCTAAATGGGCTTTCCTGGTGGATCAGACAATAATCTGCCTGCAATGGAGGAGACATGGGTTCGATCCCTGGGCTGGGAAGATGCCCTGGCGAAGGAACTGGCTCCCCACTCCAGTATTCTTGCCTGGAGAATTCCATAAACAGAGGAGACTGGTGGGCTATAGTCCATGGGGTCACAAGGAGTTGGACATGACTGATGCAACTTAGCACGCACACACAATGTTTCTAAAACTGGCTTATATGAACGTGGAATAAATGCTGAAGACACTGCTGCAAAAATGGCCAGACTCACATTGCAATCTCTCTGCTCTAACACTTAAAGCGAATAGTTGGGCAATTTAACTAGAAATAGCATGATGATTAACAATTATTAGAAAAGCAGATAACAGTGAAATGTATTTTAGACTATACATCCATATCTTCAGTAGTTTATCTGAAGTCCTCTCTCACCCTTTTTCGTAAGCATTCCAAAATTAGGATGATTTTGAAGAATCTCTTTTCTGCTTATCTGATACATACATAAGTATTGTTTAATTATCAAATAATTCTCTCAGCTTCCAGTTTTCTCAGATGTTTTAAGTAAAAATCTTGTAGACTGTTACTTACAGTATTGTAAAGTTTATCAAACTCTGCATATCTCCTGAAGACAAACCACTCACTCCTGCCCACTGAGACCAGAACTTTATAAACCTGTGGAAATTAAAAATAACAAAATAAAATTTGAGGGAAACCCCTCATTAGCTATTTACATATGCAAATAAAATGTTTTCATACCTATCAAATCGATAATTAGACATTAATATTTATATGTGATCCTCCAAGATACATAAGTATACCAACTCAAACACTTCTTTTATCTTGTTGAAAGGTGTTTTATTTTTAAAATGGTAGGAAAATTTTTCTGTAGTTTTCAGAGAGTAACATAATGAACACCCGTGTACTCATTATTTAGATCTTCTGAATTCTGGCATTTTGCAATTCTTGTTTCAGATTTCCTGCCCCAAGAATAAAACACAGTTTCAACAGATGATACTGCTCACTTCTTTCCCAAAGGTAACGACCACTCTGAAATGATGAAGTATTTTCAAAAGTGATGCCTGGCACATAGCAAATACTCAGTTATTAGTTCTCCTTCTTTCAGGGCATCTTTTACACAGTATTTTTCAAACTAAGACTTTATTCTCATATTTCCTACTACTTTCTTGCCTGTGTTTAATATTTTCAAACACACATAATTTCATATAACCATAGTCAACAACCCTATGAAGTAAACAGAAAAAATATTACAACCCCTATTGCAGATAGGAGGAAATGATGGCCCCACAAAGTTAAAAAACTTGCCCAAGTTCACAGACTTGTGAGACTAAAATCTAAATATTCTAACCTTCTACGCACTAGAACAAGAATCAAATCAACAGTTATAATACAGAATTATCTTTAATAATCCATCCCACAGAGGGGCTGACAACACAATTCAACATAACGCAGAGAAAACAATTTGGACCCCAAAGATCTTTTCATCATTTCTAAAAATAACAAGTATCTAGGTATATGAAGAAAAACTCACTGATGTATGTCTTGGGTTATCCACCTCACTATTTTACAGTGAAGATTAGGGGAAAGAGATGTTTACAATACAACTGTCCACGGTCTGTAGATAACAGTCAATTTATTTTAGAAGATGGGCAGACAACCATTTACACAAACTATCCTTTGCCATGAGAGACTGGAAAGCTCCACTCACCACTTCATAGTTAGATAATACTGTGAGCAAAGATCTCCCTGACACTTTGTGTGTTTATGAAGTATGAACTCTGCAGCACTGTTAAAGATAAGGTCACATTAACAAACCCACAGAAAGAAGGGCCCCACACGTAAAGCCGTACCCTCCCTACCACGAGAAAGGGGACAAAGTCTCACCTGGAAGGTGAAGATAATCCATTGCATTAGTTACCTGGTAAGTGATGAATCACTGAGGCAGAGGGAACAAGACCATCCAGGAACCTTACATCAGCTCCTGGCGTAAGAGAGCTTTTTGGTGCTGCCTCTGGTGTTAACCAAGAGGACATTAAGTTGTCTCACAGGAAGCTGTTGGGTGTAAGATGTCAGAACTGTTTTTAAGATGACATGGCTCCCTTTGGAGAGAGTGCAGAAGTAGAGGAAGAAGAACCTAATCAGAGTGCCAGCAAAACTGAGCCATGTTTCTAAAAGCAGACTACAGATTTTATCTCCCATGGCAGTCAGCATCAGATGGGCCTGGAAGCAGGACTCCTACCAAAGGATCAGAGACTTAGCTTTACATGATTATGAGCTTCTTAAACAAACAACACTGTCTGTGCTGACTTCCTGATGGGATAAGGTGGCTTCCCATGGATACTCGAGTACAGCCAAGAGTGGAATCAAACCTAGGTTCCAGGCTGAGGCAGCTCTGCTGTACCCCTATTTATAGGAGCTGAGATAAAGCCCTGTGAGGTTACTCATTAGCAGGATGATTTATGAACAAGAGCTTACTAAATAAGTTCTAATAAAATACCAGTAAGTGAAAAAAAAACTTTTCAAATTTGAAAAGACACTCTCATTTGCAAAAATACACAGAATTTAACAAAAACAAGTACAATAAATCTTATGAAGTGGTTTTTTTTTTTTTTAAAAAAAAGATTTCCTTGTTGCCTGTCTTGCACCAGAACGTAAGTTCCTTGAGAGCAAGGACTGCCATCATGCTTGCTCCCACTTATCTCCAATACCTGGAACAGCAGCTGGCATAAGAGAAAAAGCTCAAGGACAGTTCTCTGAGTGGACAAATGAAAGCATAATTTAGACTTGGTTTAAGTCAAGACATTCTAGAACGCAGTTCATTTCTCTGGGAGAAGCTGAACTGAATGAAGTCATTTAAAAGGCACATGAGAATTATTCATAAAAATATTACTGAAGAGTTAATGCAGTGCCTATTTTTGTCCCCAAGTATTACACAGATGTGCTGAAGCTGGACAGAGTCTGTGCTGGGTTGGGTGGGGTCTATCTGCGCTGACTAGAACCAAGCTTGTCGAGAACTGAGGACAGTACTACAGTGGTCAGCAAGAAACACGAGAACTTAACCCTCCTTCTCATTCCACTCCAATGCCCCAAGCACTTACTAAATGTCCACGTCTGATCTAGACACTGGTGAAATGATAGTCAGGGAAGTTCTTGCTTCAAAGAACAAGTTGAGGAGAAGTGCACATAAATAAACCTAAAGGAATGTCAGGTGGTGATAACTGCTATTAAAAAGCTAAACAGGGTAAGTGGGACAGACTGTGAAGGCGCAGGGTGAGGCGTGAAGGTGCTACTGTAGAGCAGCAGGGAGTCAGTCAAGTCCTCTCTGACAAGGCACCATCTGAGCATCCGACAGAAGGAGGTGAACGAGGTGATCTGGAGGGAGCCAAGGAGAACTCCAGGGGCAGCTCTGGGAACAGCTGGTAAGAGTGACGCTGCAGGCCTCGCTCACCCTTTCACAGAAGACAAGGAAATACTCCTACCACGAAAAACAGGACCCTTGAGATAACCCACTGCGTGTATCTGCTGTGGATGAGTTTCCATCAAACTCGGCAGGAGGTTCTGTCCTTGAAGGAGAAAACTTCCCAAAGGTTAAAAATAAGGAGATGGAAGCAATGAAAACCTTGCACATTCCACTCTGCTATCCAAAGTATACTGATCTCTGGTTTAACATCCATACGATGTTTTTTCTCTAATATTTACTTATTTTTGGCTATGCTGGGTCTTCACTGCTGTGCGCGGGCTCTCTCCAGTTACGGCGAGTGGGGGCTCCTCTCTAGCCGTGGTACGTGGGGCTCTCACTGCGGGGGCTGCTCTTGTGCAGAGCAGAGGCTCCAGCTAGGATGGACTGGTTGGATCTCCCTGAAGTCCCAAGGGACTCTCAAGAGTCTTCTCCAACACCACAGTTCAAAAGCATCAATTTTTTGGCACTCAGCTTTCTTCACAGTCCAACTCTCACATCCACAAGTGACCACTGGAAAAACCATAGCCTTGACCAGATGGACCTTTGTTGGCAAAGTAATGTCTCTGATTTTTAATATGCTACCTAGGTTGGTCATCACTTTCCTTCCAAGGAGTAAGAGTCTTTTAATTTCATGGCTGCAGTCACCATCCGCAGTGATTGTGGAGCCCAAAAAACAAAGTCTGACACTGTTTCCACTGTCTCCCCATTTCCCATGAATTGGCTTAAATGGATGTGGAATAAATGCTGACGATAATGCTACAACGTCTGAGGAGAGGCAAAGGGCCAGACCCATGCTGCAAACTCTCTGCTCTGGGCTTCCATGCAGGCTGTGGAAGTATGTTCATTAAGGAAGGGAGAACAGAAGATGGAAGGGCTGTTTCCAGCTCCCTGTCTGAGACTCTGGGAGAAAATCACCATTAGGGGGCCCCTACCTAGTTAAGAAAGCAGACTGGAGTGGCCAGAGGGTTTAGTTTAACTCCTCAACCCCTCCTGTGACGTGGACTCTGGCAGGGGCCAGGTGACCCAGTGGTCAGAGCCCGGGGCAGACCACTTGAGTGAGGAGCAGTGGAGGGCAGGCAGAGCCTCAGCGGGCTCCACAGCCATCACAGGGCCAAGGGGAAGCTGAGTCAGCAGTCAGTCACCCCACTCGCCAAGCCAATAAAGAAGAGATTACAGATCAGTCCATCAACAGCAGATGCCAGTGGTGGATGCAGGCATGAGGCCCAGGGTTGGATCAGGTCAACCACAGCCAGAGATTCACCAGGCCCGTCACTCTACACCTGGAATGGCAAAGATCTAGAGGATGACAAGAATGCCTGGCCATGAGGTCAGTCATCTACTGAACAAACACTATGAAAGGGGACACTTCTCCTGCCACAAACCACGATGCCAAGTTGGAGAAGGAGCATGTGTTCATGTAAGAGAATGAGACCACAATGAAGAAGACAGCCTAGGCATTTTTACTTAAAAGAACGGCTTACATTTTCAGTTAAACTGTTAAACAGGATTGGGTTAAATGAGTTTCTTCATAGTGCTCAGTGGGTGGGGCCTTACAAGGAAGAACAGATCTGTTACAAACAAGATAAATGACAGTTTTTGAGGAAAAGGAAGACAGCAGATCTCTGTACATACTAACAAGACTGCTAGACTAAATACTAATAGTGTGGCATTACACTAAATAGAAAGGTGACTGTTTCCCAACAGTAGTCACTGATACACTGACTCAGCCAAATATCCATGGCTTGCTCTTTATAAAGTCCTATAGTAGATGATAAGAAGGTGATACATTGTGCAGTTATTTCTGACTCTTTGTGACCCCCTGGACTGTAGCCCACCAGGCTCCTCTGTCCATGGGATTCTCCAGGCAAGAATACTAGAGTGGGTTGCCATTTCCTCCTTCAGGGGATCTTCCCAACCCAGGGATTGAACCCACATCTCCTGCATTAGCAGGCAGATTCTTTACCACTGAGTTACCACCATGATGATAAAAAGTAAAATTAGAAATGGACTTTGCCTTTATGGTGAAAAAAGAGATAAACATTAGATTAAATATTTTTTCAATGGAGGTAGAAAATGACAAATGTTAGGACCTCCCTGGCAGTCCAGTGATTAGGACTTCACCTTCTAATGCAGGAAATCCGGGTTTGATTCCTGGGCAGGGAGCTAAGATCTGACATGCCTTGGGGCCAAAAAAAAAAACAAACACCATAAAATAGAAACAAAATTGTAACAAATTCAATAAATATTTTTAAAATGATCCACATCAAAAAAAAATCTTAAAATGATAAATGTCTTAAGAAAGATATGTGGAAATTAAGACAGTGGTTCTTCACATGGAATCAGTGACCTTCGGAGTCCACAGATCCTGAGAAGTGTATGTGTCACAGAACCACGCGTACGCACATTTTCAACTGAGAGGGTCTACGGGATAGTTCACGAGTCTCTGAAGGGATAGGCAAACAGACAAAAATCTACACTGAAAAGGCAACTGTCTTCCATCACAGCACACGGAGAAGGCCGTGGAGGACACAGCATTTGAGAGATAAGCCGCCAAGTCTAGGGCAGGCCATTCTAGGTTCAGGAAGAAAAGCAGGAATGGAAATATTCTCTACATGCAACTCTGTCCCATGAACTTCACATGACATACTTACAGTAAACCTCTTCTTTTTCTCTCTGTGTTCATCAGAGCTGGGGATGCTTACACTTGCACAGCTCTCCTTGTAGTCCATGGTGTAATCCCTTTGAGTTTATTGCCTCAGAAGGACACGAAGAAGTGAGTCCAAAGAAACAGTCAGCAGAGGAATAACACAATTAGCTAATCCAAAACATAAAACCTCTTGAGGTAATGGTCAAACTCCATCATGCAACCTTAACCAACAGGAAAAAAAAAAAAAAGAACTGATTAGCGAAACGATTTTAAAATACCTTGATTTGTCATTCCTGGGTCACAGAACCCATTTTATCCTTCTTCTAGCAGGAATTTAACTTTTGATCCTAGGTCTCAGCCCAGGTTAGAGACATAGTTTCTGTTATGTCCCTTTCAATAGCTAAATCACAATTTCCGGGAGCATTTACACCACATTTCCTATGGACCAAGGGTTAACTCTCATCTGAAAGACTCTATTGTGATGGACTGAGAGCAGGGTTTTCAAAGGGTGGTTTTTAAGTTCCTAGCATCAAGAGGAACTGGTGAAGCTTGCTTCCGATTGGGAACCTGTCTAGTTACCAATTATTTACTCCCATTTTACAAATGAGGCAACTGAGACACAGAGAGGTTAAGTGACTTGAAACAAGGTTGTCTGGCTCCCACCAGGTGACCCCTCTCCCAAGCTAGAGCTGAAGGCCTGGGAGCAGCAACGGCTTCCAACACTGTGAGAAGGGGTGCTTCCCCATGTCCTGTTGCTTCTCTCACCTCTCTCCCCAACAGGTTAGTCAAGAGTCTCTTTGTTCGAGTCCCTTCTACTCCAGTAACTGCACCAAGAATGACCCCAGAAAACTAACCCTCAAAAATGAAATGCATGTTTGATCAATATCCTGATAACCTTACTATGGAGGGAGGGGAGGGGAAACTGACAATCTGGCACATAGTAATACCAAGACCATTCAAACTTCCTGTCCCAGGATGAAGTACAGGTGGTGAGCAAGGTGCCATAACATCAAGTATATGATGAAAATGTTGATTTCAAAGATAGTGACCTGGATTGCAGCTGCTTCTGACTGTCCCTGAGAATATGCACAAAACAAATGACCAATTGAAAGCTGTGAATTCCCAAATAGATGAGTGGAAAATCTATGGCTGTTTTAAATGAGTCCTTTTCCCCTAATAGCTGCTAGTCATACAACTAAAAATCAAGACATGGTTTGATGACAAGGTTTGCAGAACCAATTAAACATTCAATGCTATAAAATCTCTTACGCTAACATGAGGGCAAGAGCTGGAAAGGTGAATGACCCTAAATCACAGATGCAGGCACTTGGGCAGATAAAGATGAGGCCTGATTTTTGGAAGAAAAGCAATGACAAACCTAGACAGCATATTAAAAAGCAGAGACGTTACTTTGCCAACAAAGGTCCGTGTAGTCAAAGCTATGGTTTTTCCAGTAGTCATGTATGGATGTGAGAGTTGGACCATAAAGAAAGCTGAGCACCGAAGAATTGATGCTTTTGAATAGTGGTGTTGGAGAAGTCTGTTGAGAGCCCCTTGGACAGCAAGGAGATCAAACAAGTCAATCCTAAAGGAAATCAACCCTGAATATTCATTGGAAGGACTGATGCTGAAACTCCAATACTTTGGCCACCTGATGCAAAGAGCCGATTCATTGGAAAAGACCCTAATGCTGGGAAAGACTGAAGGCAGGAGGTGAAGCGGACAACAGAGGACGAGATGGTTGGATGGCATCACCAACTCGATGGACATGAGCTTGAGCAAGCTCCGGGAGATGGTAAAGGACAGGGAAATCTGGTGTGCTGCAGTTCGTGGGGTTGCAAAGAGTCAGACATGACCGAGCAACTGAACAACAACAAGGGTGTTTAACTCCACATTTAGCCAAACACCTCAGCTGAAAGTAGCAACTTGCCCTCTGAGGAGAAGTGGCCTCCTAACTCCCCTCCCATAAGCCCTTTCAAATTGTTTCACAATTTCTCTTTACCCCACCTTCCCTCACTGCCTCCTAATGGGAATTAGATGCCAAAAGAGCCCAGAAAGAAGTTCAAAGCCTACCCGGAGAGGAGGTCAACTTTACACCAAAAAATGTACAGAATCTCAACAACTTTATCAGGAGTCTGAGGAGCACATATGGGAGTACATTCACAGAAATCTAAAGATAAGATTACTGCGGCCCTAGACACATCCACACGTGCACCCCATCACACTTTCTCCAGACCTTACCTAAGAAGTACCTGCAGCCATTCGCAAGGGTGACTGGCCACTGGGAAAGAGAAGAGCGAGGTTTTTCCAAAGGTTACCAGACACGAGCTCTGAAGTGACTCTAGTCCCAGGAGACCTAAACATGGCCCGCCAATTAGAGCACCCATCTCACTCCAGAAAGCAGGTGAGAGATAAAGTCAACCCTGGGACCTACTGCATGATGGGTCCAATGGGCGCACTGGCCTGTCCTGTGGTTATTTTCCTAGTCCTAGAATTTTAGTGGAAATAGACACTCTTAGTCACTGGCCAGATCCCCACACTGGCTCCCTGTTCTGTGTCATAAAATCCATTATGGAAAAAAAGGTGAAGGAATCCTTGGACCTCTCCCCCATTAAGAAAGCAAATCGAACACTACACCACATCCCTAGAGAAGCTCAGAAACCAGTGCCACTGTCAACAACCTGAGAGATACAGGGGTGTTGATTCCTACTACATTCACATTTACGGGTCTGTTTATCCGGACCAAAGAGCTTAGGGCATGACTGAGGTTGACTCTAAATTTAATCAGATGGTGAAACCAATGGGATTTTTGCTGGAGAAAACAAGCACAACCCTTGACATCCAGTAAACAACAACTGACCAGGCAGAGGGTAAGGGGAACAGAAAGTAAGTACTAGAAGAAAAAAGGGAATGATGAGCAATTTGAGCCAGAGGACTAGCTACAGATGCAGAGACTACAGCGGCTACATTTTATTTTCGTTTTTTTCTATCACCTTACATGAAGAACACTAGCAGTGACTCCACCTGGGAGCATGAAATGAACTGGCTGAAGTGACTACAGGACCTTGAGTTTCCTGAGTTAGGAACAGAAGCTTTATGCAGCAAGTGTGAGCGAATGTCAAGGGACAGAAAGAGGAAGACTGCACTGACGTTCTGTTTTTCTTTTCAGACTCCACCCTGATCACACCACACTCCACAACCCAGGACAGTGCCGGCCACAGCCCGCACCGCACAGGTTCCCCGGCCCTCTGGCTGCTGGCTGATTTAATCCAGAGAGGCACTGGACACGGGGTGGAAAGAAGGGGATCAGGACATGCATCTCCTTGCCCTGCTCCCTCCTGGGCAGGCTGTGGCATGGCAGCTGCCATGTTCCTCTCTCTCTTAAGGCCGAAGCTCCTGGCGGGAGATCCTTTCTTCTATGACCACAGATCTTGTGGGGATCAAATGCACAATTTTCTACCTTGAGTCCTTACACAAGTTTAAATGATCGGAGTTCCAATTTCCTAATCTAGTAGATGAAGCTAGCAATGCCTACTTCACAAGGTTGTTTTAAGGGTTTGCGACGAGTGTCAAAAACCTAGCACTGTTAAGTCAGTCAGTAAACTGGATCAAATGCATTACAATTTGCTTCAAATGAGTTTTTATTTCCTCATTCAACAAATACTCATTAAGCTTTCATTATGCAGTAAGCAACACAAAGACAAAGAGAAAACTCTACCTGCAAGGAACTTGACTAATGGGATAGAATGATAAGCAATACAGAATTTATGATAGTTGGTTAAGTATGATTTTAGATGTATGCATGGTACACTCTGAGAACACACAAACGGGACATGCACGCAGACGGTCATGGATCCTCAGTCTTCTTAAAGATAAAGTCAGGCAGGGATTTCCCCGGGGGTCCAGTGGCTAGGACTCTGAGCTCCCAATGGAGGGGGCCCAGGTTTGATCCCTGGTAAGGGAACCAGGTCCCATGTGTCACAACCAAGAGTTCCCATGCTGCAACTAAAGATCCCTGTGCAGCCAAATAAATAAATTTATTTTTCAAATTATAAAGCCAGGCAAGTATGGGAACAGATGTTTGAAAGATATCACATTTGTATGCCTCAATTTTCTCTGGAAAAGGGAGTTAGAATCATGGAATTACTGCTGTGAAGAAATCATACAAAGATCAAATTATCTGTTCACGCTGCTGCTGCTGCTAATTCCACGCTAGTATCCAGCAAACAGGTGACAGAACTAGGATTCCAACTCAAATCTGTGACTCCCCAAATCTGTATGTATTCATTTGCTATACCACACTGGCTCTCCTTAAGCTGAGTCAAACCTGAAACCTAACAATATTTAATATTTAGTGTCTAAGCAAGATTATAACCCAGACTGTGCTTTACATGTGTTAATCTGATTGCTCCTCACAACAGCTCCACTGAGAGGAAACCTCAGAGAAACCGAAGCATGAAAAGATGAAGTAACCTCCTAAGGCAGTCGAGTGAGGATTACAACCAGCAGTGGTCTGACTTTAGGACCATTATCCTTTAGACCACACTACCTCGACAACGCATGTATGCTCTAAAGAGCCCTCCGGGAAGCAGTGAAGAAGGTTCATGGATGTGTTTTTAAATGGTCAGAAGTAAAATTCTGAAAAAGCAATCTTGCTATGACTGTATACTTAAGGTATATTTATTCTGTAAAACTGCAGCAACTAAAATTCTGAAGCAATTAAAAATCTAATGGCCAGGCAGCTCAATAAAATGGAGTGAGAAGAGGACTGATGTAAGAATCTCACTCTAGGCACATCCCTGGAAGTCCAGTGGTTAAAACTCTGTGCTTCCACTGCCAGAGGCATGGGTTCGATCCCTGATCTGGGAGCTAAGATCCTGCAGCGTGGTGCAGCCAAATAATAATAATATTAATAGGGAAAATTGGATGTTGGGTACATGGGAACTTCTGTACTACTATCTTTGTTACAATTCTGTAAGTTAAAAAAACAACTTTTCTAAAATTAAAAGTTTAATTAAAAAAGGAATCCCACAATAAGAAAGAAAAGAACAAAGAGCTATGTGTTCACATTAGAATCAAAGCTGGAACTTTCGGGCAGGTTCAGAGGTATGGAGGGCCTCTCAAAGAGGAACAGGGTCTGCCTTCGTTCTGCTGGAGAGTCACAAGACCATCCTACAGACTGGTTCCCAGGGGCAGCTGGCTTGCCTAAGGGAGGTCACAC